AGCACCTGGGGCCCATCGAGGCTATTCAGGCCCCTGCCCAGAGTAGCAGTGGGCTCTGAAGCCATCCACACAATAGGGAGAGCCCACAACATGTCCCACCAGAGTACTGGACAAAGGAAGTGTCCTGAGGGCAGAGCTGTCAAACAGGCCAGCAGAGCAGAGGGATCACAAATACTCCATCTCCTCCCCCACCTGTCCAGGTAGAATCTGGTTGCAAGATGCCTGGTCCCCTCCAGTGCTGGGACCTGGTATGCTGGGACAGTGAGAACTATTGGCAGGCCCTGAGCCAGCCCAGAGGTGGCCTGGCCACATCAGGAAGAGAATGACACATGACCAGCAGAAGGCAAGGAACCAGGAGTGGACAGGGTTTCTTCCCCCATCACTGTAACTCCCCTTGTCACCTAGAACTCCTGTTCTCTGCACTTTCTCCCTCTGGGATTCAGAAAATGGGGTGTGGAGGACTTGGGGTCCCTGGGAACAGAAGAGCTTGGGGTCAGGGTCTCTTGTCAAGCCCTGTGCTGGCTCCTCTGTGCCTCCTTGGTGACGCTGCCTGGTGCCAGGCTGTCTCTGAATGGGAAATCTGTGCACCTATCGAGCAGGAGGTAGTGTAAACCTTGGCCAGGGGATGGGCATGGAGTTCAACAAAAAGGCATTGTTAGTTTTATAGCGGACATGTGGAGCCTTGGAGATCAGCCGAGGGTTTGCCCCAACCACAAGAACAACAACTACGGAAACTGTTTCCTTGTTTGAACTGTGCCCTGCATTCACCTGAAGAACTTGCTGGGACCCTGGGGACGGGAGGGAGTCCCACCTTTCCAGCAGTGGTGTGCAGATCCAGGACCATGTCCCTCTCTTGGGGATGCAGCCAGAGGCCCTTGTGTCACCTTGGCTAAGGGTAGACTCTGTCCCTTGCCTTTTTAAGTGCCTCAGTTTGCTCTTCCAACATGAGCACCTGTGGGAATCTTGGAGCTGGATAACATCAAAATGAAGTGTATAATTCTCTTCTCCATCTTTTTAATTACTTTGATTAATAAAGTAATAAATTAACTAATTTTTTTTTTGTTTTTTTGAGGCAGGGTCTCACTGTGCAATTCAGGCTGGCCTTGAACTCACTATATAACCCACACTGGCCTTGAACTCATGGGCATCTTCCTGCCCTGGCATAATTTTTATTTTAGACATCCGTTTGATGTTGGTTGCTTGCAGGTATTTCCTGTGGGCACGGAGCTTTCCTGGACACTACCATGGGAGTTTCTGAGTGCACTGGAAGACTTTCTTCAGGGAGCATGTGTGGAAGGGGGATTTCTGCGAGTCTCGTACCTTCTTATCATTAGTGCAGGAGGAGGCTGAAAAGTGCTTCTGTATTTGCGCCAATTGGTGGGCTCCCTGACCCTAGCCGGGAGGGTCCAGCATTGGCCATTCATAGCATTGTAGCATGGAGCAGATTATTGCCAGCTGGTGTATGGAAAATGGTTACTCAGGTTTTATTATGACAAAAATAAATACAACATAAAACTTTCATCTTTTTGTGTGGCTGGAGATTGAATTCAGAGCCTTTGCATTGAGCTACATTCCTTGGGTGCTCACCTTTTTAAAAACTTTGAGGCAAGGTCTCCCTAAATCACTAAGCTGCCCAGACTGGACTCAGATCTGTGATTCTCCTGCTTCAGCCTCCCGGAGTTGCAGGTGTGCACCACCACGCCCCACCAGTTTTAGCCATTTTAAATGCACAGTTCAAGGACATTGTTGTGTAGCCATCACCACCCCCGAGAACATTCTCATCTTCCGAAGTGAAGCTCTGTCCCATGAGACCGAGTCCCCAGCCCCACCCTGTCTTTGTCTGTTCCTGAGTGCTGGGGACCTTATGTAAGTGGCAGTATATAGCACTGTTCTTTTGACTTCTTTCACTGGGGTTAGCATCCTTGTCGTACACTCGCACAGTGCCGCTCCTCTGGCCTTCATTCATGCCCACTAATGTTCTATATGCACATGTACATGTACGTGAGTGCATGTGCATGCACGCATGTGGGTCCCTGTTTATGAGGAAGTACCTCTTGCCTGGCATCTGTCCATCTGGGGAGGCAAAGAGGGAGTCCACGGAGGGAATGCAAGGTAAGATCAGGTTGGACCTACAGGCTGACCTGGAGCCTGTAACCATCACAAGGTGTCAGGCCAGGGCTGGCTGTGTGTCCTGGGAGCCAAGACCCACAGCTGGTCCCAGCACAGGCGAGCTGGTAGCTGGGACAGGAAGGGACTGCTGCAGGTTCAGCCACTACTCTAGCTTTATTTCACTGAGTTTCCCCTTTGACTCATACAATCTTTGTTGGGTGCGGGCATCCCCCACAGTCCCATGGAAAGGAAGATCCTTTAAATCAGAACTAAAGAGGTCCACCTGCCACCATGGCTTCCTCCTGTCTCTAACTCTAAAGGCAAAGAAGAGCACTGCCATAGAGGCTGGAGAGTTGTCCAAGTCACCAATGGGAAAGTGACCGCTGTCTTGCCGTGGTCAGGAGGATGGGCCCTGAGTGCTGCAGAGTCCTTGGGGGCATCTGTAGTTCCCTGTGCTTGTAACTAAGGCAGGGACAACCTTGGACCCAGACCTTTAGGAATAAAAGTTTGAGTCACTTCACCATGACCAACCCACTGAGGCTAGAGGCCCTGAGGGGCTTAGAACGATAAGTGGAAGGAAGTAGCTGGAAGTACCAGGAACAGAAGTGAGACTGATTGTCATGCATGTTTATTTCTTGTTTTGTTCTGACTACAATATGCAGGCTTATTTTCCTTCCTTTCCTATCTCCTAGCTGTGTAGTATAAGATGCATTAGCTAGGCATGGTGGTACACACCTGTAATCTCAGCACTCCTGAGTGCTGAGATTACAGGAGGATTACTATGATCTCCAGACCAGCCTGGACTACATAGTGAGTTCAAGGCCGGCCTGAACTGCACAATGAGACCCTGTCTCAAAAAGACCAAAGGAAAAAAAAAAAAAAAAAAAAAAGCGTTGACTTTCTATCATTGTATTAAGCATTGTTCACTTGACAGCATGGCTTTTAAGGGATGGGAGAAGTGTTAACATCACTCCAGGACTTCACCTCCTCTCTGGAGAAGGGAATCTGCACTTTTTTGGTTGCTTGCCAAAGAGGTGTGTGAGGTTTGGCAGAATTATTGTCTTCATTATTGTCTTCATTTGGAGATTAAGCATGGCTTAAGGAGACCAGCCTCTGGAGTGGACTTGCACTGGCTCATCTTACATACCCAGCTGGCTGGGCTCGGGGTGCTTCTCTTTCTGAATGCCTCTGTGGGCTGTTTCTGGCAAGGACAGTATGCAACGTGGGGTCTGTGTGTACACAACCCTCCCTGTGTGAGCCAGCGGCATCCCATCGGGTCCGAGTGGGACAGAGGTGGGAAACAGTGAGTGGGCCTCTCTCTGCCTCTTTCCTTCTAGGGTCCCGACCTTCTCCTGAACCCAGAGCTCGGGCCCTCCATCCCTTAGGGGTGTTGTGCATCCACATCACTGTCCCCCAGGCCTTTGAGCCACCCCTTAGGTTGTGCTGAGCCTACAGCTGGTGCAGGGCAGACTGGTACTGGGACCTCCAAACTCCTGCGAACCAATTCTTTCTGATATACCTCTTATGTTTCTCCCATTGATTCTGATTCTTGGGAGAACCAGCTACTGATGTGGAAGAAAAGGGGAAGTTGGGAGAGCAGAGCAGATAGAGACACCCCACATGGTGTGCAGGTGGCCCTGAGGGGTCATGTCTAGGAGGCCTTGAACACACTGCCAAGACAGAAAAGAGGGAGTGGCCACCAAGCACACCTGGATCTGTCCCCCCCCCCCCCAAGACTGCCCTACAAGGTCTTCTCCTCAGCCTGCTGGGCAACAAGATGGAGACAGGAGGACAGTCAGTTGCCTGGGGCGGCTGCTTTCCAAGAAGGGAGCCAAAAGAGGGAAGGGCAGGAGGCACTTCCCAGGAAGGGACTTTGGGCCCAGGCAGCTGAGTTGCAGCACCAAGCAGGTGGCTTGGCTTGGTGAGCTCCTGTTTCAAAGCAGTTCCTGTTAATGGGAGTGTCAGGCAGGGAGAGACACTAGCTTCCTTCTATCCTCCTGGCTTCTGCAGCAGGTCTGTGAATTGAATTGACATGAAGCAGCAGAAAAGTCACTGCGATTCTTCTCCCAGGCCTGCGGCAGGCCTGGGAGAAGTACCTGAGCTCTGGACATGGTGTCACAGTGCAGGTGAGCGCAGGTGAGCACAACTTTTCTGAATGGGTGTTGGGACGAGAGCCCCTCCAAAGTGTAAGACTCCAACACCCAGATCCTAGGGATTTAACAGTGTGTTTGGCTGCAGAGGGTACACCATACTTGCCAAGCTGGTTGATGTCCAGGCTAATGGTGAAAATGAAGGATTGTAGGAAGCACCCGGGGAGGACAAGACACAGGTGACAAAAGCATCTGGGAGCAGCTACCCCCACCCCCACCCCTGGTGGGGACACTTTCAGAGATGACTTCCTTGGGGCAGCTTGTCAGAGATACTCTAACGTCTGTGATTTCCGGGGAATAACCAGCTCCAAACAGTCGTGCCTTGAGACTCTTGAGTGACTACTCTGGTCTCCGGCAGTGGTGTTTAGGGACAGGGTATATCCTGGACCCCCCTCCCCCCGCCCCCTGCCCGCCCCCAAGGCCATGTTGGCAGAGCCTCTGAAGGAGGGCAGGTCTTTCTGGACCGAGGTGTCTCCCACCCCGCCCATCTCTGCCTGGTGTAGCCTCCCTGGTGCTCCTGTGGGGACTGTGTGAGTGCTTCCCGGAGTCACCCCCTTCTCCACGCAGCTACGGCCCGCGTGGTGGGTATCAGCTCTGGTCGGGCATCTCGGCAAAAGCCTGAGTCCTTGAGTTCAAAACAGCGTCTGTCCTGGACCTGCCCGGCCTTGGTAGCCGCCCCTCCAGGGCTCCGTGACACGGGGCGTGTCTGGGGGTGTAGCCCTGGGCCCTGTGGCACCGCCCCCGGAGGTGAAAGCCGGCTCTAGCCTTGCGGCAGGCCTGGGAGAAGTACCTGGGCTCCCGACACGTCACATCGCAGGTGAGCACAAGTGAGCACAGCGTGCGCTCTGGCTGGGTCCTGAGGGCAGTTTTAGACTCGGGGGGCCTGGGCCTGGACTTGGTGCCCCAAACAATCTGGCAGGGGTGTAGAGCTGAAGCAGATGTGGGCCAAAGTTGCGCTGGTGCAGGCAGATAGAGCACCTTCCTGGGGGCCGGGAGACTCCACTCCACCCCACCCAACCTGTTGCGGGTACTTCCCTTGGGCTGCGTATCTGGGCTGGTGGCCCGCTGCATTGGCTGGAAAGGAGGACACCTCAGGGTTCCTGGCAGGACCAACCCCCATCGCCCACCCTCATTGTCCCTGCCTGGCAGCCTGGGTGCGCCCTTTTCCCCTGGGGCAAGGCAGGGAAGCTCTTTGGTGCTTTTCTTTGTCTCAGAAAATCTCGGTGGCTGGGTGTGTTACCTGAACTCCTTCTGCTCCTGCCTCCCCATGCGGTGAGGAGAAACTGGAAACTTGGAGATGTCAGGGCGATAGGCCGGCTGTGGGACAGGACTGGGCCAGACTGGGCTGGAGCCTGTTGCGTCTGTCCCCAGGTCCCATCCTGGGGACTCAGGAGGGTGGCAAGGGACAGGAGGCGTCCTGTGGGACACCTGACAGCTCCAGCGGAGGAGCTGCCCCAAGGCCTGAAAGTCTGTGTGTCCACACCCTGTGGCCCTGGGTATAGGTGGCCATGGGCACAAAGGGGTGGCAGGATCCTGGGGCTGGCATGGCAGGGGAAGCCTATGTGCCCTGCCCCAGGGCCCAGCCAGGTGGCCCAGATTCCTTTTCAGAGCAGCCCAATCAGCCTGCCTGTGTGGAGTCTAGGAATTGTCTGGGGGAAAAGAGAGCTTGCAGTCCCAGGCAAGCCTTGGACAGTGTTGCCCAGACAGATGGATGGAGGGACGCAGCAAGCATCTTGTCCCAGGACCAAGCCAGAGTGGTGCCTGGTGCTTCCTACTAAGGCTCCAGCCTGCAAGAACTAATCAAGGAGTGGAAAGTTACAGCGGCACGCTCTGTTTGGGAGCCTTTGAGTGAAGTGGGGTTTGTTGACCCAGGTGGAGGTGGGGAAGGCCCACAGGAAGTGAGGAGCGGCTGGGAGAAGGGGGACCCAGGAGTCACTGCAGCAGGAGCTCAGGACTCCTGTCCCTGTGGCCCTCCTGGGAAGGCCAGGTGAGCAGGAGATTTGGGCACCACGCCGCAGTCTCTGGATCCTTCACTGTCAGCTGCCGAGGGGGCAGGCCGTGTGCTTATCATGGACCTTATTTGGGTCCCATGCCACCGACACACACACCACAAGGCAAACTCTGGCCCAGGGCTGCCTCCCTGTCCTGGTGAGCCAGGACATGATAGCTGAAGGAGTGCATTTGGCCAAGGTGATGCCACAACTAACTGGGCCTCAGGGTGACTCTGGTCCAGACGGGCACCACTGCAAGCTCTTTTTTTAAAATTGTATTTGGTACAGGGTCTCACTGTTCAGTTGGAACCCATGGTGATTCTCCTGTTTCAGCCTCCCCAGCACTGGGATTACAGGCATGCGCCACCACCCCTGGACTTGGTCTCCGGCTCAGTGAGCCTGGGGATGGGGCGGCCTACAGTACCAGGGATCAAACCCTGGATCCCGAGCTTGCCTAAATAGGCACTTAGTGCACTGAGCTTTCTCACCAGGCCTTTGCAAGCTCTTTATAAGGTGTTTGACTCCACCACAGGCAAACTGAGGCAGAACAGTTGGGAAACTTACTTGACACCTTCATATCCATTGGGGAGGAAATTGGGCATGTGTGAGGCCAGAGGTCCCTGAGCTCTGAGCAGGTTCCTCATTGGCTGCCACTAAGCAGGCTTCTTTCCCCTCGTCCTCTCTGGCCTGAGATCAAAATGTCACAGCTCATGGAGACAAGGATGCCGTGCATGAGTCCCCAGCCCCACCTGGTGCTTGCTGCCCCCAACCTGAGTCCACCAGGAAGTGGAAACCATGAGCGCCAAGGGAACCCTCACCCTGTGGTCTGAACCCACAGAGAGACTCCTGGGGGATCTTTGTGGTAGTGTGGGGTGATTGGCCTGGCCCTAACTGCTGTGTCACTTGGCCCTGGGCATGGCATCCAGGAGCTTTCACTGTTTCCTGAGCTCCTGAGAAAAACCTGAGCTTGGGAACTTGAGGTGCAGCCTGAGCTTGGGGGCCAGGTGGGGAGGAAGGCAGCTGGTCTCTAGTGTCAGTGTTTTGGGTACTGAAGAGCAGAAAACTCCCTGGTTAGCAAGTGGGGAGGGAACATGGGTCTGGGGAGCCCCCTTGGAATCCAGAGGATGAGTTTGGTGGCCTTTGAGGATCTGGCTGCAGGGGCGCTTTGCGTCACAGAACTGAGCTCTGGTGTTGTGGCCTGAGCAATGTGGCCTCCAAACCCCAAGGTGGAGGCCTCGTGTGAGGAGGCTGACTCTCTCCTCTGTGTAAGAGCCTCTGCCAACCAGCGCCTGGATTCCAGGGAGGACCCCAATGGAAGTCCATTGGTCCTCAGAGTTCATCTCATCATGCTGGGGACCGACATGGCCCTGTGGGTCCCCAACGACACAGAGCTGGACCCAGCCCTGGTTTTTCCAGCCGCCACCAGGGGAGGACAGGCAAAAAGTGCTGTGCTCCTGGGGAAGATATCTGAGAGGACAGTCGAGGCTCTGGGGGCAGGGCCAAGAGGGTGTGGCCAGTGACCTGAGTGGCACACAGGTTGGACTTCGAAGAGGAAAGGTGGCCCCAAAATACAACTTCCTAAAATTTCAGTCCTGGCAAGCAAATGCAGGGCCTCCCCACTGAACTATGCAACAAGTCTGGCTTTGTGTTTTATTTTGAGGCAGTGTCTTGCTAAGGCGGCAAATTACTCAGGCTGGGTTTGAACTTGCAGCCTTCCTGCCTCATCCTCCCAGAGTGCTGCAATTATAGGCATGCACCACCACACCCAGCCAAGATGTGCCCCTTACCCCACCAGCAGGGAGCTGGGGAGGGGTTGTGTGTACACAGTTGAGCTTCAGACATGCAGTGGTGGCTGGGAGGGGCCCAGAGCAGAGACAACCTAGGTGGCCTCTGACGCCGGTGGTGGTGGTGTTTGCAGTGGGGATGGGAGAGCTGGCCATCCCAGGTAGAAGAGGGTCCACAGCAGCGGGGCGGGTGTGTTGAAATATATAATATATAATATATAATATATAGATATATTATATCTATCTATCTATCTATCTATCTATCTATCTATCTATCTATATAATTTTTAGTGTCTTAGAACAATGCAGAAACAGCTTTTCAGGTAAGATTTAGTTGATATACGAAACAAGCCCAGGCTTTGTTCTACTTGTTTGTGCAAGGTGCGAGAGCCAGTGTCAAATTCCCTGCAACATGGCTGCTTCCAGGGCCATCCTGGCAGGGATCTGGTGAGATGAACTCAGGATGTTGTTTTCTAGGGACTGTGGTTTTGGGGATTGCTCTGTGGAAACAATTACAAGAGACACCCTGATGTGCTAGATCCACCAGCGGTGACACATTTTTAATGGATTGGAGTGTTTTGTTTTGTTGAGGTGAAGTTTCATAAATTATCCAGGGTGGCCTTGAACTCATGATGACCCTCTTGACTCAGCTTCCTGAATAGCTGGGACTAAGGTGTGCACCACCACATCTGGCTGAGAGTGACCTTAAAAAAATCATCACATCTCTGCCTGGAGCTAGAGCCCAGAACTGTTCTAGGAGGTGCTAGAGATTCCTCAGACCTTACATGAGGTTTCTTTCCTCTCTCTCTCTCTCTCCCTCCCTCCCTCTCCTTTTTTCTGTGTCTTTTTTGAGACAGGGATTCTCTATGCAGCTCAGAATGGCCTTGAACTCATTTTATAGCCCAGGCTGGCCTAGAAATGGTGGCAATCTTTCTGACTCAGGCTCCCGAGTGCTGGGATTACAGGTGTGCACCACCATGCCTGCCCTGAACTCTCTAGTTGTTGGAAATTTGTTTTCCCTGATTTGAATCCAAGCCTGCATTTCTGTTCATTCTGGTCACTGATACTATACTAACGTTAGGATTTGCATAGACTATGCGGAGTCCCTTTTCCAAGGGGCTGGCCCTTAGATTTGGGGAGAAAAGCCCCCCTGGCCATGGTGTTATCACAATGAAATGTGTGATCACAGTGCCTTGGAACTCACTTTCTTGTTTAACCCTTACAACCACCCTACCTACCTAGTGTCAGTGTTGTCAAGTCACCCGGGGCAAGCCCTGTAGCCATAGCCAGTGGCTTGTGCACAGTGCCAAGGGTCCTACTGTTGTGCTAGATGTGCATGCCTGTGTCTGCCCACTGCCACGGCTTGGGAGGCTGGTGACATACAGGTGTAGGCTTCCCATCTCTTGTTCAATTTCATGTTCCTCATTAGACCTTTGGGACTCAGAAATATTTGAATGCTTTCTTTATATGGTATAAAGCTAGCTAAAAAATAGAAGACCAGATCTTGTTCCTGCCCTGAAAAGTTCGTAGTCTCCTTGGGATAATGACGTATTCACAGAGAGAAACTTGGGTGTTATAGGGAAGGCGTCAGAGTTAGACTCTCTCTGTCTCTCTCTGTGTGTCTCTCTCTCTGTCTCTTTCTCTATATCTCCCTCCCATTTTTTCTCCCCTCAATCCATGATGGCCATTTATCTGGTGGGCTTCTCCTTGCTAACTTGTTCATGTGGTGCTAGGACTGGCAGCTCTTTCATCTTCTAATTTCCAATTAATTACACCAAACCTTGAGGAGGAACATTTTATACCATGAGATTTTTTTGCTTGGTTCTTTTTGCCTTTGTTCCTCAGATGCAGGGTGCTAGCCGATGGTCATGATACAGCCTTTGAGGCTGAAGAAGGGGTGTGGGCACCAGGCCCTTGCATCTCCAGCAAAGGGGACTTTGCTCAGAATGCCATGGGGCCTCAAGGTGCATGTGTGGCCATGGGTACTTTGATATACCCCTGACCCCAAAACAGGCATGGGCACCTGTGAACTTGACTTTGTCCACATTGTTGCTGTCATTTTCAAATAAGCCTCCTGCCAACACATGCTCCGAGGGCTCCAGAGGAGAGAAACTCTAAGATGAAACTGTTCTTGTTTTGAAACAACCTTACTATTTCCAGAGACAGGGATGAAATTCTGCAGCATTACACCAGTGCATGGTGGCCAGGTGGGTGCCTGATGGGGAGTTTGGCTTTCTGAGAAAACAGCCCGAGACAGGCTGAAGTGCCAGGGCTGCGTCTTGCTGCTTTCAGAAACTGGATCAGATGGTTTGGGATCCCATGTGACTTGGGAGCACCTGCTCAGAGATGCATGGATCAGGATGTGGGTTCTGGGGTCTTGCCGGCCACACCCTTCCCAGTCCCAGAGTGGGGACCCCCTTCCTTTCCTTGGGGCTGTAGGAAGCCCCAGGCAGTACCCTCAGCTTCTGCCCGAAGCCCATGTTACTGAGCAGGGCACCATCCTACTGTGGGCTGCAGAATGGCTGGGGCGATAGGATCACATGGGACCAGCTTCCAGGTCCTGTGGCTTTTCTTTGACAATTCCCATCGGTGGTTCTCAAGCGTTCCTTCCCTTCCCGGCTTCCTTCTTTCCCGCTGTTAGGGATCTCGGATGAATAGCAAGCATGGGTGTTGAGCACTGAGCTGCTGTTCCTTTCAGAGGGCTCCTCCATTGGGAAAGCTGCCAGTGGGATTGAATTTTCATTTCCTGAAACCTCAGCTCAAGCTGTAACTGGTGAGCTGGCCAGGAGTGGCCTGGAGTCGGAAGCGCTGCCACAGGGAGCAGGGAAACCAGAGGGGGCGAGCAGCTGTTTGCCCAGGCAGGACTCTGCCAAAAGTCATCTTGGCTGGGCAGTGCTCACTTTTGCTGGTGACCCGGGGAGCAAGATTTGTTACACCGGTGTGTGTCCACCCTTAGGGTCCACCTGACCCAAACAGACCTAGGGAAGGGTATCAACTTGTGACTGCCACACCGATCCAAATGTGTTACCCCTGGACCTCAGCTGGTTTTCTCTCCTTCTCCCCAGAAACCTGTTGGCTTTGTTATTCATCTTAAAAATAGTCTCAGGGCTCTCAACATGACTTGGTTCTACTAATTTCCCTGCACACAAAGAGTAAATAAATGGTGTGGCTCATTTTTACGGTGACATGTTCAGAGTTTCACTCATAGTTTTGTTCATCACAAGGTATTTGGGTTTTTTTCTGCCTCACTGGTTTAATGATTCATTAGGTATTAAGTTTTGCAGCAGTGTCTGTGGTATTTGGGTCCCGTGGACTCTGGAAACAGTGGACTTTGTGTTGGGGCTCAGGAGCACTTAGCAAATGTGATGTGGAAATGCACAGGCCAGGCCCCTATTCCTTGGCAGGAGGTTAAACATTGCTCAGCTTAGTGACTGCTTTGGTGTCCCAGAAATGGGGGCCCGGCTTTCTGCATGGCAGGCACTTTGCTCAGATGAACTCCCTGGTGCCCCAGAGGCCAGGACAGGTACAGACTTCCTCTGGATTGTGGCTCCCAAGTAGCAGAGCTTGGGTCTGCACCCAGAGGGTCACGAGCACCCTGCCTGCCCTTGCAGAGCTCCGGGATGAATGGCATGAAAAGAATCCAGCTCCATGTGGCTCTCTGCAGAGCCCAGGGCCGCCTGCTAGCTCATGGGCCCTTAGTGGGAACATGGCTTTGTGGAGGATGACTCCCAAAAGCATGTCTTAAACTATTCCTTGGTTGCATTAGCCTCACCCTGGAAGCATGGAGAACAGCTCTCAGTGAGGGAGATGTTAAAGAAACATGACTCAGTGACTATGGTTAAGGCCAAGGAAGGAAGGTTTGAGTTTTGAGGACCATCTCTGCAGTGGGGGAGAGAGAGATTGTTCTGACTCTGCCTGCAGAAGGGAACGCAGGGTTTCACTGCCTAGGAGCACAGTGTCAGTGGGTGGGAAATCACTGAGAGGTGACACTGATGGGGGGGGTCCCAGAGAAACTGACCCAACAGCACTCTTGCTGAGGCACGCCACAGGATGGTCCTGTGGTGGGTGGGAGATGGACTGACTTAGCAGGCCTCTCTGCTAAAGTAGCTTTCACAGGAGAACTGAGTGAGCACCACGTGAGCCCTCCAAGGCTGGGTAGGAGGCGAAGCTGTGTCTGGAGGACCATGCAGGGAGGGGGCGCTGCACCATAGCACTGCACAGCGGCAGAATCTCTGGATGTTGCCATCACCTTTCTTTTTCTTTTTTCTTATTTATGTATTTGGTACAGGGTCTCACTGTGCAGCTCAGACTCATAGGGATCCTCCTGTTTTCAGCTTCCCCAGTGCTGGGATTACAGGCATGTACCACCACACCTGGACTCAGTAGCTGGCTCAGCATGCCCCATGGGCAGAGCTGGTGCGGTATGCAGGGCAGGGGATCAGACCCTGGTCCCTGTGCTTGCCAAAGCTATCTCTCCGGTCCCAACCATTGATTTTCATGTGTGGCTGCAGACAGAGTAACCCCTGGGGTTCTATCCATGACTGCCAGTCTTAGTGTCTGTCAAAGTAATTAGCTCCCCATGTATTTCCTGTTTGAATTTGGGGTAGAAAATGGAGTAGGAATGGCCACGTTTATGAAGATTATAAAATGTATGTAGTTATTAAACTGTGGAGGTCCTGCATGTTTTACTTTAAGGAGTCCAATGTGTCCTCCCTCTGGTATTGAGTGTTGGACCTCTGCCCTGTCTATGGCTCACTGCTGCACATGCACAGACACCAGGGGTGAGGGGACCCCTAGTCACACCACTGGCCTAGGTGACCGCTGCTGAGCTGTGCCTGGCTGCAGGCTCTACCATGTCCCCCCCTGAGCACACAGCATCTGTTGTGAGCCCTGATTTTCCCAGGAGGATGGGAGGGGCCCGTGAGCCTCAGTTTCGTGCCCTGGGACACCTCCGAGAAGTGTCACTGCCAGGGGGTGGTCAGGAGCTTTGCCTGTTCTTGCCCACTCTTGAACTTGGCAGGTGTTGAGGTTTCCTTCTTATGGTTTTCGCATGTTCCTAGCTCACTGATTCTCTTTTCTATTGTGTTTCTTTTCTTTTTCTCCTCCTCTTCCTCCTCCTCCTCCTC